GCCAGCACAGAGACAGTGGAGTTAGCGCCGTTCAGACCATCAAAGAGCAGCCGGGATAGCTGGAAAGTCAGGATCCAGGCATAGTCACAGTTCCAAAAAACAACATTTCAGAGAGTCCTGGCAACTGCCATTTCCCCACCAGGAAAGGGCTAAAACACACTCAGAAAGGAAACGGTTGGAACAAACAACAAAAGAACAGGGAGGCCAGAGCAGAAACAGGCCAAGGGCTAAGAGCTGCCACACCACACAAAGCAAGGTCAGAAAGGATTTCAAGCTGTCCCTGCCGCCCATTTGCATCCCTCCTGCACCCCCCTTTGTCCGGACACTTGCACGTTAGGCCAGGAGCTGTTCAAGGCAGGGATGGTCCCTTCTCAGCTGTCTGCACAGCTCTGTGCACACCAGCATGGACTATAAATAATCACACCGTGAAGAGACAGAGAGGGAGCCGTGACAGCTCTCGTCATCCCAGACCCCGCGGGGGCCACCCCACATCTGTATCCCGCTGATGGGATTTTATTTCAGAGCCTGGTATTAAAACCCAGCACAGGTTAAAATGAAAATGTTCACGGTTTACACTCGTTACCTTAATTGTTTTTTCTTTTTATGTAATAGGAGCCTTTGAAGCAGGACGGCCCTTCCTCATGCTCCACCACCGCAGAGCTGAGACCAAGGGAAATGCCATCCATAATTAATTGGAAGGGTGCATTATCAGCTGCCATTACATATGCCAATTTTGGGCACTGATCCACCGTTTCACACACTCCAAGCTGGCAGCCCCAGGCTGGTTTTAACCCTTTACAATACATTTGTGAACGGACTCTTGGGACCAGCTCTCTGGCGGGCAAAGGAGATTATTCCAAACCTGCTGGCTGTGCCAACAAAGCCTGCCCTGCAGCGCTGCCGAGCCGTCAGTCTAGGTGCTTTCCTAGCCCTCAGCCCCCTAGTGTGACAGCTCCTCACACTCATTCATGGGCTCTATCCTCGCACACCCCTGTGAGGCAGGAACTATTATCACGGCTTTACAGCTGAGAACTGAGACGTAGGCTAGAGGAAGTGACTCGCCTGAGGCCTCTCAGGGAGCCTGGGCCCCAGCCCAGTGCCCCGTCCACTAGCCCACTCTTCCCACTCACACAAAGTCCAAACCGGTCCAGCTGCTGAAGGAGATCACTGGGTCAGCAGCACCAAAGGAAACTGCTCTAAGCTACGGGGTGCACCTAGAAAGAGTCTAGGTCCGTACTGTGTGACTCATCCGCCCTCGAACCCCTGTCTCTAGAGACAGCCAACTTACATTCCAGCCAGGCTGTTGACCAGAATCCTACTAGCATCTGGTGTTTACATTTGCCGTGGAAGATGGATGGAGACAAGGGGATGATTATTATTTAGAATTTGTAATCGCTTCGTTAAAAGACTTTCCCCCCACAAGAATGGTACCGAGAACCCAGCCACCCACAACGGCCAAACCGCCCCGACAACCACAGCCCGGGGACAAACCAACCCGCCACAAGAAAATTCACAACAGTTTAAAAAGCACAAACTCTTCCTCAAGCAGAGTTTTTACCCTCAAAAATGAGATGTGGCAGACGCTCCGTGGAGCCCCCAGGGCTATTGACTTTACACAGGAGGTGCCCAGATACCACGGTGCTGGACACAGGCTGGACGGACAGATAGAAGATCTGTAAAAAGAGAGAGGCAAGGCCCGTATACAAGCTCCCTTGTAATGTACGGCCACACTCCTCTCCCTTCTCCTAGCCGCTAGAACTCCGGCTCCTGACTCCCGTCTAACCTTCTGCTCATCTTGGCTGCAATACAAATCAAATCGGGGAAAAACACTAACTAGGCCTCATCGAAGCTCCGGTTCTCCAGCATTCCCCACAGCCCCCGCCTGGCTTGATTCTATTAGCAGCATTACGGGGACTCGCTGTCCCTCTGGGCACTTACACAGCGCTCAGGGCCGGGTGTCTGAGCAGCGCTGCCTCTGTTTTGTTGCACCAAGTCTGTATCAGCCCCTGGGGCATGGGGGTTATTCCAGCCAGAGCAGGGGTAAGAATCAGCGTGTTCTCAGGCTGGGGAGACGGGGGGTTGAGCTCTGCACGGGGTGGGGACCAGCATGGACTGACCCCCGGGACATCCGCAGGCCTGAAATTCGCCTGGGAAGAGAATCCGGCTGGGGGATCAAACCCTCCGCCAACCGCTCATGGCGTTTCCGAGGTAAAGGAGCTAATGGGAGCTCAGTCGCTGACCAATGGCAAAGCGCCAGATCAAGTCATCTGGTGCCATAGTAACGGCTGCCTCAGAAACGGGCCCTTTTCAGGGTGCTTGGCACAGGCCACCCCGTCTCTTGTCCTTTTCTCTCACACACAAAGCGGAGGAAACAATCTTCCAGCCACTTCCCCTCGCCCCCTCCCCCCAGCCTCCGCACCTGGAGGGGAGCAGGGCCCGGCCTGTGCTGAGAAATGGCCTGACGCATTTTCTCCCCGTCCCCGGGGGAGCCCCTAACAACAGGGGCCAGCGCTGGGCTCGGAGCGAGCCAGGCTGCTCCTTCGCAGGCCCCTCTGGAGATGCCCCTTGTCAGGACCCGCTGCCCAGCGTGCCCCCTCCAACGCAGGCCACAGCAGCCATGGGACCCGCTGGGCACCGAGTGGCAGGAATCCGCCTGCCCAGGGCCCGTTCAGACACTTCGGGGAACGCTCGCCAGGGCGCGGTGCCGAGGGAAACCCAGCTCCCCTCGCCCCCAGCATCCCACCACCACCACGGGAGCCATACAAATAACACACAGCCCCGTGGCGGGTCTGCCCCGGCACCTCTCCTGCACCAGGCGCAGCGCCCCCAGAGCCCCAGCCCCTTCAGTGGCTCCCGTCCCGTCTCCCCCACCCCACACACTTCCATCAGACAAGGGCCTTTTTCCTTCTACTGAAAGGCTGTGCAGTCCCTGCCTCAGATCCAGATGCATCCCGACGCGCTAATTAGTGACTGAAGGTTACTGCTGCCTTTGCATTCATTATTGTTTTATTAGCAGCTGCCTCCTTGCTTTCACCTTCCCTCCACCATCGCCCGCCTCCCCTTGGGCCAGGCACACTTCACAAGCCGGTCTGGGGACGGGAAGGGTGAAGAGATAATTAAGGAGACACCAAACAAGGGAACTCAGCTCTCTCGGGGCCAGCACGCCCTCCCAGGCTGCAGGTCGCCCGCACGGAGAGAACAGCAGTGCGGCTGCATCCCCCAGTCCTTCAGCACCCCTGGAACGAGGCTGAATGTGCAGGCGGAGGGGTTAGATAGTGGCCCAGCCCAGCACCCAGAAAGCATTTGGCATCTCTCACTTCCCCTCTCTGTGCACACACAGAACAGAAGTGGAAAAAGGAACCACGGCAGATGTCGGTCACACCCCGGCCACCCAGCAGCCACCCAAAAGGGGCCCTGAGAACATCCCCCCCAAGAGAGAGAGAGGTTCCAGCTCTGTCCTGCCCCGGCTCTTGGCAAGCGCTGAATGCACAGACTGCTGTCTCCGTAGAGCACATGCTGCCTTCTCAGCCGGTCCCTGCCCAGCAAGAACCAAGGGGCAAAGGCACTCCAGAAAGATTCACGCAACGACACGTGCTAGAAATTCCATTCTTAATCCTCGGAGCTCAGGCCCAGCCTGCGCGGGCTCCCGACGATACCAGCCACTCACAAGTCGTGCAACCCAGAGACACGCTGCACCAACAAACCACCATCCTGGGAAACAAGGTGCACAATGGAGACTTTGGACTCCAAGACAAGCGTGCCGCTGAGCCGGAGAAAGCACTTCCAGCACTGCCAGCCCGCAGCATCCAGCAGTAGCGTCTCCTCCAGCTCGCACCCCAGGCAAAAGGGCTCCACCCTACACACCAGGATATACACACGCAAGGAAATGCTCTCCAGGCACAACAGAGCTCCCGGCACTACTGGGGAAAGTTCCCCTACCAAACTGCTCCATGACAGCCAGGAGAAACCCATGTCTGACACTTGGCTTTGCACCCCAATACCTCAGCCCTCTCCTCCCAGTTCCTCCACCGCCACGCTTCTCTGAGGCCCAAAGAAACACCGGTTTCCAACCCAGCTGCCTTGCTAGCCAGCCAGAACATGGCACGCCCAGAAACCAGCGCCTAGAATGCCAGCTGGAGTTCAGCATGGCGGCACAAATTGAAAACCAGCAGCCCCACCTTCGGGAGCAAGTCTAGCTCGGCTGCAATCAACACAGCAGCTCAGATATCCCATCCGCGCAGCCTGACGCTTCACACAGCACACGCCGCTCTACCAGAATCAGCAAGGTGTTTCACACAAAGATGGGCTTTGCTGCTGGCCTCCACCCCCTGCTTAGGGCTTGCCATGATGGTTCATCTCTCACAGACAGCAGGGTAAATCCGACGTAGCTCTGTCCAAGTCGATGGGGTTACACCAGTATGAGTGAGTTTAGAATCAGGCCCACAAGGGGAGCCAAAGGAAAGACATAGGAAAGGTATGGGAGAAACCAGAGCTCACAGCCTCGCTTCATGTGTAAAAGGGTCACATTTCAAGGTCTCTGGGACTCCAGCTGGACAGGGCCCTGGGGTGTTTGTGTTCCTTTAAATTTCACATTAGCACAGACAACCCTGCATGTCACAATACTAACACTGCTCAGCCAGCCAGTTTGTTAGGCACTGCTCATTTCTTTAATAACATTTAACAGCCTTTAAAGATGCTGATCCTTCAGCTCTTCCACGGCTGATTTCTTTTCGTACTGCAGACGTCGGGTAATGAATTTACGTCACTCCAATTAAACAGGTTTCCTCACATCCCAGTTAGTTCCCCTTCGGATAAAACCCCAGTTAACCCCAGTGCAGCGCCGAGAACGCTGGATCTAACCCTAGAACTGTGCTGCATTCCCACCGGGAGAGGTCGCCGCGCCGACACGCCCGGCTCTGTGTGGCGAGCTGGGGCCCCCTCGCTGTCTGAGCCGTCCAAAGGCAGAGGATGGAACCGCGCGCGATAAGAGAGGTACTCACAGTCGCGACAGGGCCTGGTTGTTCTGGAACAGAAGCTCCGGCAGTGTGTGCAGCTGGTTCCGATTCATCCGTCTGGGGAAAGGGAAAGAAAGGGTTACAGGGAGTCACCTTTTCAAGGAGGAAGGCAACGATCCCAGCCCAACAAGGAGCCGCAGTGCCCGGCTCCGAACCCCTGGGACTGGATGCAGGGATGGCTCCAGTGAGAGAGGAATGCTGGGGGGGCCCATACAGGGTCTCTCATAGACGTTAACCTTCCCCTTACAGAGTAACTACAGCGTTACTGGGCCAAAATCAGGGCGTTCCTCACATTCTCTCCACTGAGAACCACCCGTCTCCTTAGCAGTTAGTCTTCTTAGTCCATAGCTAGCCGAGGGGTGTGTGGGACACCCTGCCCAGGAGTCTCTAGGCACTAAGAGATTTTTGACAATGGGCCCCGGAAGTTGGACTCCTAAGTCCACCTTTAGGTACCTAAGTATGTGGCCTGATTTTCAGCAGCTCGCACTGAAATCGTGGTCAGCACAGCCAGGCCCGAGCTTTGGTGCAGCGCAGCCCAAGGCAAGGCGGTCTCCTGCCAGCTCTAGCGGACTCCAGCAAAGGGCAGTTAAATCCAGCCTGTCGCTCAGCCTCTGCTCGGCTCCTTCTTCACCAAAGCCCCAGACCTCCACGCTCTGTACTTCCTACCCACCAGCGCTCACCCCTACCCTTTGCTGCGGCTTTCCTCGGAGTCGACAGCACGAAGCCTTACTCCCTGCTGCGGGAGTTACACCCCCCCACCCCTTTGCTGAGACGTCCTGGCGGCGCACGACGGCTGAGCGGGGGCCTTGTCTATGCACAGAAGTCGCCCTGGTTTAACGGAACTGGTTTAGAAACTGACTTTGTTTCCTTGCCTGGACGCTGGTTTCAGTGCGAGAGCAGCGGCCACACAGGAGCATTGCAGTGATGTGTCTAAAGCAGACCCTGGTGATCGGTCCATTGGTTCTCAACCCACGGCCCAATCAGCACAGAGCTACAGACCATGTGACATCTGCAGGGCCATACAGGCAGGATATCTATTGTGTGGATGCGGCCCATGTAACACAGAGCGCTCCACAGGCGGCTTGCAATGGCCAACAGGTTGAGAACCACTGACCTAGTCTGACCCCTGGATAGCACCAACAATAGAACGTCCACACTAACTCCTAACACAGGTGTTGGGTCTAGGGGTACGGGGGGCTGCCGCACCCCCTGGCTGGAAGTGGTTTCCACTATATCCAGGGGTTCCCGTCTGGTTCAATGGCCCTCAGCCCCCCACTGTACACCCTGCTCCAGCCCACTGACTCCTGACCAAAAGCATATTGTTCAGCAAAACATCCCAGCTTGATTTTAAAATGGCCAGTGCTGGAGAATCCACCACAGCTCTTGGTAAACTGCTCCGATGGTTAATTACTCTCCCTGTGCGGCCCAGGCTCAGAGCTGGGGCGGTGCTCAGCTGCGGGGGCCACTTACAGAGGATTGCACAGACAGTATCAGCTGCGGCTTTGCCTGGTAACCCGCTGCCCCATCGGCTTGGACGAGGCAGGTTCTCAGTTTGCAGAGTCTCCTCATTTAGCAACGACTGAACTAGAACGGGTATCGCCCTCGTTCGCAGTACTTTACATACACAATATTAGTATTGGTTGTATAGGATTTCCTCCACCATTAAATGCAGCCACCTCTGGGGCAAGACAAGCAGCTGTTTAAAAAGCACACAGCAACATTGCAGTTTAGGACAGAAAGTGAAGGAGACCACTCCACTGTGACACTGGGTTCAGCCCTCAGTTAGGTCTACACCGCGAAGTCTCAGAGCCCAGATCAGCTGACTTAGGCTCACACTACGGGGCTAAAAATAGCAGTGCAGATGTTCCCGCTCGGGCTGGGCCCAGGGCTCTGGAACCCGAAAGCGGGAGGCCTCAGAGCCCGAGGTTCAGCCCAAGCAGGAAGGTCCACACTGTTATTTTTAGCCCTGTAGTGAGTCGACCCAGGCTCTGAGGCTGAGCCACGCTGCCGCGGGGTTTTCTTTCTGTGCAGGCGGACGCCAAGAGGGGACAGCGCCCCCACTGAGCCGCAGGCCCCACTCTGCAGCCCGGCGCCCTGCGGGAACATGAGTCAGTTCTGATTCGAGATGAACGTCCGCTCCTGAGTCATCAGCACGCGTGTGTGCGCCTTGGAGGCTGCCCAGTCCAGCCCTGAGCAGGCCTGACTCTGCTTCCCGGAAGAGAGCGGCTGGGTCCCTCTCTTCCGGGTGTCTGCTGACCTACCTGCTGGGGCAGGCTTTGCAGTGCACTGAAGGAGCTGCTAGGCGAGGTCCCAGCTGCGCTCCTGGCTGATTGGCACGCAGACGCGTTAAGCACATCGCTGAGGAGTTATTTGGATCCCCGAGGGAAAAGGAGCAGATTGGGACGCGTCTGAGTGCAAACGGCGGGCAGCTCCGCGGCTGGGGTATAAAACGGTTTGTCCTCCAGCCATCTGTCTGTGTTAGCGAGAGAGCAGGGCCCGTCCCCCGGCACCGCGCCCCGCCGAGACACTGCCATGCCCTGCTCTCAAACGGGGTCTGACCTCAACCACTCCCACAGGAGTCCTGCCCCACTGATTATCCTGCTGGCACCTGACCTGTACTGGAGAGCAGGGACGGACCAGGGTCTGCTCCAGACCCCCACCCCATTCTCTTTAGCCCCTCCCATCCCCACAAGGGTCTTTGCTCAGGCTGCTCAGAGCAGTCAGGTGCTCTCTCTTCTCCAGGGCATGAGTGCAGTGCCAGGCCCTGCCAGCACAGGGAGAGCAGTGGGCTGCACCCAAATCCCCCCCCCGCGATAGCACAGCCACTGGCCCCCCCAGCAGCTCGCGGGACCACCGACCCTTCTGCTGTCTGCAGCAGTAGCGGCCATTCCCCTCTCCCCCTTCCTGTCCCGCAGCGCCCAGGCACTCACAGCCGCTCCAGCTCCTTCATGTCGTCAAACGCTCCCCGCTCCACCGCGTTGATCTGGTTTTCCATCAGCTGCCTGGAAAAGGGAGGCAGAGAGAACAGGTCAGAGCCGAGACGCACGGGGGCAGCGCGCTCACTCGCCGGGAATCCACGGGAAGCCCCCGCACCAGAGCTTGGGGACCTGCCCGGGGACTGGCTGGGCAAGGCATGCTCATTCCAGGGGTGCAATGGCCCATGTCGGGGGGCCGAGGCCCTGCCATGCTCCCTTGGAGCAGGGGCCACCGTCATAGGGACCCCGGCCACCTCCCGTCAGCGTCGCTGGGAGTTAGCCAGGGAAAGGGCTGCTTTGTTCAGACACCTACCGGCGTCCCAGCTAGGCCACTCGCGGCCACCCTCCAGCACCCGCCATGGTGCCGGGCTCCCAGGTCACTGAGCCGGGAGCCCCCTAGCCCACGGGTGTCACACGTCTCCTCCTCGGCACCGCGTTGGTGTTCAGCGCCGTCGGAGCAGCTCCCGGCTAAGAGCTCGGGCCTGGCTCCCAGCAGCATCCATTTCCATCACTCGGTTTCCACGCCCGTGGAGGGCACGCAGGCCTTGCCGGCAGTGAGCCAGCCGGAGGGCGAGGGCCCAAGTCCCTCTGGGATACTGGGGTCCAGGCAGCAGACCCCGGGGCGTGGCCCGGTCAGTCATGTGGAGCAGGACCCTCAGGCACACGCTCACTGTTCCTTTCATCCCAGCCCCCTTTACCGTCAGAGGAGTCGCCTGCCTCCCAGCCCAAGTCACCAAGGAGGCCAATGACCTCTGACCCCCCCCCCTTTAAACCGTGTTTCCGACAGCAGGGGCCCTATGGTGAGCGCGGGTTCCCCTCCCCCTCTTGCCCCAGTGCGCTCTTAGCCTGGGATTTAGCAGCACCAGCCTCCCAAGGCAGAGTCCCATCTGGGTCAGCCCCGGCCCGGGCAGGCCTCTCCCCCCCAGGCAGCCCCCCCATCCCCGGCACAGACACTGCTAGCGCTCGGGCCAGGGGACTCACAGGACACGCAGCTGCTTCAACCCCGAGAAGTCGTTCCTGTTGATCCGGGTGATGTTGTTCCCGTTCAGTTCCCTGAGGAGAGAAGAAGGGACGGTCAGCGAACGGGGGCGGATGTACGGCAGGGTTGGAGCCCTGGGCTCCCGCAGCCAGCGCCCGGGGAGGGCTGAGCTCCCCCAGAGGCAGGCAGGTGCCAGACGACAGCTAGATTGAACCGGGCTTCTCCATGGACCTGGAAACAGGCAGCACTCCTGGCTCTGACACCGGCCAGCGCCAGCTGCTGGCCAGGAAGGGGCGAGGACCCTGCAAATGGCCAGTTGTTAATGGTCAGCTCATGCCCCAAAGCAGGGGGGTTTACAGCCCTTCTCAACACCCCAGCTGTTAGTCTGGCTTTGGCTGTTCCCACTGTGACGCGTTGGACCCCTGGGGAAGCTGCCTGATGTGCTGAGATACCCGAGTCTACCTGTTCTGCCAGCCTGGGCCCCCTTAACCTGTCTGGCTGAGCCAGGCTCTAAACACCTTCTCTAACCCACACACAGGCTGGGCCACCCCCAGCCACAGATCAGCTTTGGGCACACTCAGCTTCAGGGACTTGCTCCAGCACTCAGACGTCCAGCTCCCTTGGAGTGCAGACCCAAAGAGAGACTATGAAATTCACCCCCTCCCTCAAGGTGGAGAGAGGTGTGCACACTTCTTGCCCCTCCCCCCAGCTAGAAATTACAGAAACTGGGTTTAATAACAAATGTTGTTTACTATAAAAGGCAGATTTTAAGTGATAAAAGGGGTAACAAACAGAACAAAGCCGATTACTAAGCAAATGAAACCAAACAGGCAAACTAAGCTAGTTTCACTAAAGAAATCAGTTACAAATAGTATTTCTCACCCTAGACCAGGGGTTCTCAAACTGGGGGTTGGGACCCCTCAGGGGGTTGCGAGGTTATTACATGGGGGGTCATGAGCTGTCAGCCCCCACCCCACACCGCGCTTTGCCTCCAGCATTTATAATGGTGTTAAATATATAAACAAGTGTTTTTAATTTATAGGGGGGGTCACACTCAGAGGCTTGCTAAGTGAAAGGGGTCACCAGGACAAAAGTCTGGGAATCACTGCCCTAGATATTGTTGTGGGCAGGTTGCAAAGTTTCTGTGGTTCAGAGTTCCAGTTCTATTCCTTTTCAGACTAGACCCCGTCTCAGGCTGGACTCTCCCTTGCCTTCAGTTTTTCTTCTTGGGCAGACAGGCCATGGAGAGGAGGAGCATTCAGTAAATCAGAACCTTTCCAAGGATATCTCACCTGAGCCACCTGGCATAAAAGTCTCTCTCAGTTATGTCATGTTCATATCATCAGCATATGTCCGTAAGGAATGTGGGATGTCGCGTCACACCCATTATCCAGGCCAATGGCCGGCGCTTGGCTCTTGGCCTCAGTGAGATCTTGTAGCAGCAAGTTCCACAGGCTCCTTGTGGGCCGTGTGCAAAAGCATTGCCACGTATTAGTTTTTAATCTGTGCCCTTCAATGGCATTGAATGCAGGGTGGGCAGGGGCAGCCCCCCCCCGCGCAGACACACACGCTGCTCTCTGGGTGGGAGGGATAACATCGCTGCCACCAAAGCAATGAACGGCTCAGGACCAGCGACAGCTGCCCAGTGCCCACTGTATGTGCGCAAAGCCCTGGAACGCCGTCCCAGCAAAGATCCAGCGTCTGCAGAGACCCAAACGCACGGAGCCACGGAGGTTTCTGAACCCCCCAACGTGCCCATCTGCAGCCGAGAGCCAGGTTTACACCACGGCACAAAACCCGAGTCACGTCGCACCTTGCTCTCAGCCTCACCCAGCTCTCCTGGAACGAGAGCCGCCCGGACCCCTGGAACGTCTGCACCTGAGGCTGGCAGCCAGTCAATGGAAGCCTTTCCCTTCCCCCACACACACTGTGGTCTTTTGGAGCCCTGCGCTCCCCCCCTCCACCCCCACAGACCCAGCCCACTGCCCTAGGTTTGTTTTCAGCGGTATCAAAGCAGCTCCCAGAAACGTCGGTTTGGAAAATAAACCGCGTTTCAAGTTTCCCACGCAGGAGACACTAACACAAACCCCATTGTTTCTTCCGGAGTCAGGTTTCACCCACAAAAGCCGTGGGGCTCAGAGCCAGCCAGAACTCCCAGGGGAGCTGCAAGCCTGAAGTCCGGAGGCTGCGCTGATTCATTCCCAGGTGTCAGGAGGGTGTGGGAATGAGGGGCAGCGACAGACAAACACCCACCCAGCCTGGCTCGGGCTGAGACACACACAACGCAGAGAAGGGGGGGGTCCGTTCTCAGCACCGCCCGGAGAACCAGGGGGCTGCACAGACAAAATCGTCTTTGCTAGGCCCAAAATCGAACCCCCAGTGAGCTGCTACAGTCTGGCGGGAAAGGCCTTCTGCATGCAAATTATTTGTCATTAGCCACTGCATCAATTAATACGGCCACCATTTTGGTGTGACTGACACCCCGGAGAAGGAAGCGCCAGACAGGTCCTGCTGAGCTAGAACTGTGGGTAGAGGGAAGCGACCCTACCCCAAGAGCCCAGTCCCACTGGCAGGAGCGGTAGGTACACACCTAAGCCAGGACCGGGCCCTTTGTCTCGGGAGCCCTTTAAACACCCCACTGGGGATTAGGGGGACAGGGAAGGCTGGCTGGCTCCTGGTGCAGAGATGGCCGCTGTGTGTCTGCCCGCGGAGAAGCCCGCACCCAATGCCAGGAAACCTCCCACGGTCCCTGAGGGTCAGTGTCTCCCCGGCAGTGAGGGCACTCCTGGATAACACTACACGAACTCCAGCTCCCCTGGCTACTCTCACCTCCCTGCCAGGCAAGGTGGCATCGAATGAGTCACATCTGCCCCACTGCAATCACTGCAAGCAGGGCACAGCCCGCCCCAGTTACAGGTCCCCCCTCGTGCACTATAAACAGCCTGGGGGCTATGTCATCCCCGGCCCGCTACTCCCGACCCTTGCATGGCCCCATCCCCCAGGCTATCAAAGGGGGTCAAGGTGCATCGTATCCCAGCTATTCCTGGCCTTTGGGGCCTCACCCAGAGCAAAGGAGCAAACCGGGGCCCCAGGCTCCGATCTCCCTGCCTCCCCCTGGGGGGCAGCACCCTGCGACACCTGCACTCAATGGCTCTGCCCCACCTGGCTGGTAGAACAGCTGCAGGGCGCCCCAAACTGGCCACATCAAGCATATGGGGACGCACAGAACTTGGCTGCGCAGGGGGCCAATGGACTCGGGAATTCCTGATCGGCAAGCGCCCAGGTGTACTGGGGTGATGGAGCCATGGCGGGGGGGGGGGGGCGAGCCCTTAGAAATCAGCCCCCCGCCCTGCCAGTCTGCAGCAGGCTCTCTCGGGGGACGTCTCCACAGCTCCAGCAGCGAGCACTGAGCCAGGCTGGCAAACGCGCTGGGCTGGTGCTGCCGCGCTTAGACACAGCCGTGCCGATGCTGCGGCTCAGGCCGGCACTCGGGCTCTGAAGCCTGGGGGGGGGGAGGGAGAGCTTAGAGCCCGAGTGCCAGCCCGAGCCGCAGCTCAAAAGCGCCGGCAGCATGGCCATGCCCTGAATGTACCAGGAGCCGTGCGTGCGCAGGGCAGTGAGCAAAGCGCCTCCTTCCCAACTCAGACACGAAGAACCGCTCTGCTCAGCCCCCACTTGCTGAGTGCTGAGAGCTGGGGTCAGGGCAGGGGGTCCCTGAGAGCTGGGGGGCCTGGGGCCAGGGTTGGGGCAGAGGGGCCCCAAGAGCCGGGGTCAGGGCAGGGGGGCTTGGGGCCAGATCCTTCAGCACAGGGTTTGGGCAGCCAAGTCTGTGCACTCACACTGGGTGCAGCACATCAGGCACTTTCAATCTACCGCAGGGCCTGCGATCTCGGACCGGGCCAGCACCACGGAGTCCATACCGCAGGGCCTGCGATCTCGGACCGGGCCAGCACCACGGAGTCCATAGCGCAGGGCCTGCGATCTCAGACCGGGCCAGCACCACGGAGTCCATAGCGCGGGGCCTGCGATCTCGGACCGGGCCAGCACCACGGAGTCCATACCGCAGGGCCTGCGATCTCAGACCGGGCCAGCACCACGGAGTCCATACCGCAGGGCCTGCGATCTCGGACCGGGCCAGCACCACGGAGTCCATAGCGCGGGGCCTGCACTCTCGGACTGGCCAGTGCAGCAGGGTCCGTACTGGGGCCTGCACCCTGGGACCGGCCAGCGCAGTGGGGTCCCTGCTGCGGGGCCTGTGCCCTCAGACCGGGCCTGCGATCTCAGACCGGGCCCGTACTGCGGGGCCTGCGCTCTCGGACCAGGCAGCGCAGCGTGGGATCTGGCCTCTCCCATACAGAGGGGAATGGAGACTAGATTCATTGCCTGTTGCTCCCCACACCGGGAGCCGGCAGAGGCTCCTTTGCAGCCATTTCGAGGGAACGCACCCCTGGCAGCGCCAGGCCCTGCCCTTGGGGTCCCTACGCAGCGTGGGGCCCGAGGGAGGGCCGAGGTCAGAGGCAGGACGGCCTCCAGCACCTCGGCAGCGTGTCCAGACACTGAAGCCGCGCAGCCTGGGGTGGTGGCATTGTGCTGCTGAAATGGCTGATAATGGCTAATGAGTTCCAACTCGACCGGCATAGTCTCATAATTACACAGCTCAAAATCCCATTCAGCTGCTGAGATTGCCTGGCTCCTTCCATTATGGAGCCGTGTGCGCCTGAGTGCGAGGGGGCTGGGGGGCAGGTTACTAGGACACTGATGAATGCCTCGGTGGGAATGAATAGACGCTCCCGGCCCTGCTGATTAAACTGAAACCCAGCAGCACAGCCAGCTCCCAGCAGGCCAAGCCTAGGCACCAGGCGGGCAGAGACATTTGGATTCCCCTGCTTTCTCCTCCCCCCTGCCCCGGGGACAAGGGCCCGATCCTGCCAGGAGGGGAGGAACTCCAGAGGCGCTGAGCACTCAGAGGCTGCTCATCCCCTGGCACGACAGGGCCCCAGCGGCAATCCAGCAAGGCTGTGAGCCCAGGGCATGGTGCACAGAGATGGGCAAACAGAGTTCAGAGATACCTGAT